GAAGAAGAAGAAAAGCGAGAGAGAGAGAGAGAGAGAGAGATTTTAGCTCGTGGAAGGAGTTTAGAGAGCTCTGCCTTTTGAAGAAGAAGATGGGAGAGATAAATAAATTAAAGATGAAAAATAATTTTCTTGACAATTTAGACATAAAAATTAATATATGAATTTTTGTTTCGATGTCAAATTTTTAATATAGTCAAAACGAAATAATTCAAAGCGAAATAAATATTTGGAAGTGATCATCGTAAAAATAGATTTTTTATTTTTTAAAAAATAATACTAGTAAGGAGGTAAGGAGGTGTAGTGTGTTGATGTAGGGGAGCAATGGGAGGATTGCATGAAACAAACAAAAATGGAAGACATTTTAAATGATGGTGTAAAAAGCTCCTTTAAAAAAAAAAATCTTTATTTCTTTTGTTGTTATCTTATTTTGTTTGTTTGTTTTTTTTAATGTCTTTGTCAAAAAATAGTAGTTTACTCATTACTACTGCAGCTTTTATGTTTTTAAGAATAAAAATGTAGTATTAACAGCATGTTTGGGTAATTTTTTAGACTTTTCTTTCCAATATTAATTTAACAAAAAAAAAACTTGTTTTTAATATATACTTATTTAAAAACTTATTATTTAATCTCTTAAAAATGATTTTTTTTTTCATATTTCAGGTGAAACCATCTCTTGAAGAGACGACTTCATCAAAACGTAGTAGACACGACTTCAATAGTATCTCTTGAAAGAATCAAAAGCAACGGACAATTGTTTAAATTTTTGTTCAATAATCCATTGTTTCTAATTAAAATAAAACATTGACTTAATTTCACAAAATGAGAAGAGTGTTATTTTGGTAATTGACCCACTAAAAATGGAGTGAAATTTTTTCTGAAAATTTTCAAAAAAATAAGTTTGTATATTTCAAAGTGATAATTGTACTGGTTTTTAAAAAACAGATGTTATAATTGAACTTGGAAAATCTCTAAAAGTAGTAAAAAAGAAGGTTTGATTTTTCTTTTTTTTTTTTCAGAAAAAGAAGGTTTGAAATTTGAAATTAATATTTCTCTTATATGAAATTATGGAACATTATTTTTGCTTTCCTAGACCTATTTTTTTGGTAGCCATGTACATTTTGGTCCAGGCATTAAATATAAAGAATCTTCCATCTTTTCATCTGCCTTTTTTTTCTTCATAAATATTTTATAATAAGATATGGTCACTTTATGATTCAAATAGTACAAAATATATTTTTTAAATATTTTATTGCATGGTACATAATATTATTTTAATAAAAGATAAATAAATATAGGCTATACAAATGCATTAGTTCTATCAACAATTGTGTAATTGCAGTGTTGTTTATTTCATCGTCTCGTACTAGTCAACGTAATCATAGTTCAATGGTAACTAAAAGTAGGGGGTAAGAAATCGAACCGACTCCAAATGGTTTGAGTTGGTTATGACAATAGTCAGTTCAGTTTGATTTTTTCGAGGATTTGAGTTTTGTTCTTTACCCTACTTCCTACTTCTCAACTTATGCATAGCACCGTTCTCTCCTCATTTTCCCTTCCCCTTCCCCTCCCTTCTCTCTGCAATTCTCAACACATACATACGGCTGAAATATATGAATAAAATTAATTTTAATAAAGAATTAAGAATTACACCTTTTAATGAATTATGTCCTTTTATCAAAAAGATATAACTTTATTTGAAAAAATATTACTATTTAAATGACCACAAATAATCTCAAGATTTATTGCTGGTTAAATCTTCCCTCAAAATTCTTATTCTCTTTTCGATGTACGATTACTTAAATACGAGTGTCCGTTGAGGCCTGTGTGTGAAGTGCTGCACTTACATGTTGGCAATTCGTAGAGAGACTTTCAAAAAAATCCTAGAGAGAGGGAGAAAAAATTGAAGAAGACCTGACCCGTCTCAATTATACCCCTAGGTAAAAGTGCATATATATATATATATTTTAGATTGAAGGTAATTTAAATTCCTTCGCTTTATATTTATTATACTAAAAAAATTAGTTTTTCGAAAGGAGATTGATCTCTAAAATTATTCTCCATCTCCAACCTACTAGAAAATATCCGCTTATAAAGAAATTCAAAAAATTTTAAAAGCGTAAAAATGGACATATAATGCAGTCGACCTACCTTCTCATCTTCACAATATTTTTCATTTTTCGTAGTTTTATTATGTATATTATAAGTGAAAAAAACATAATTCATATTTGAAATATTGCTCGTTGTTATCTTTTAAATTAACTGAACGAATAAAATTATGTTCATGTCTTACATTGAGATAAATCAAATAAAATAAATCATTGCTCGTGACTTAATTAAATAAAACTGAGATTCTCATGACTATCAGAGAAAGTACAAAAAAAAAAAAACTCTCAAAAAAATGTTTGTTTGGAAAATTAAGAAAATAAAAGGGCAGTTGCTTCAATCAAAAGCCCATGTATTTAAATTTAGGAATGATACTTAGGACATAATTCCCAAAGTAAATGCCAAAAAAGCACAATATTTAGATGGTGGCCCAATTCATTAATTAACTTAAGTGAACTCTTTAATATACATTTGATTTGAAATTTGAAATTTGAAATTTCAAAGGAGCCAAGCAAAATATTAAATTCTAATTAGGAGGGAGCAAGGTGTTGGTAGAAAAGACTAAAAATAAGTTAAAAACTCACTGGTCAACAAAGCTTCATTAAATATAATAAGATTTTAAGGATTGTGATATTTTTTAAAAGAATTAAATATGATTTCTATCCTAACTAATACTAGGCATTTGTTAAAAGAAATAATAAGAAATTACTAAAGATTAAATATAGATTTTGTTTCAAATTTTGGTCACAACATGATATTTAAAAGTGAGATTTTCTAAATTTGATTCAGGTTGTTTGTGTTGTTTTTAATTCAATATTAATCTTTTTAGAGTATTATAATAATGAGTAAGAGGGTATGAACCTACTGTATGAGTATGACCACCTAATTTAAGGATGGATATAAGAGTCGATACAAGCATAACTTGATTGGTCTAAAAGAAGTTAAAAGATTAGATACAAGCATAACTTGATTGGTCTAAAAGAAGTTAAAAGATTAGAAGAAATAGTGTAATATCTATTAAAAATGAACTATTGTTATTTAGACATAGAAAATTGAATTTTAAAACAAATTTCATGAAAAAATTGAATTCAATGGATAAGTATAGAGATTTTTGCGCAAAAATTTATAATGTTGAAGGGTATATAACCAATTTACGCATAACTCAAGTAGTTAAAATATATATCATCAACTAAAAGGTAACTAAAATTTTAATTTGTCTCTATTAAGTCAAAACTAAAAAAAAAATATCAAATATAAAATTTGAAAGTTCTGAAATTTACTAGACATTTTTTAAAATTTAAGAACATATTAAATACAATATTAAAAGTTTAAAAATATATTAGATACATTTATTAGACATATGACCATACATTTATAAGATGAAACTTGCAATTTAACAATTTTTTTAATCTCTAAATTTTGAGTTTAATTTTTATTTAACATTGAGGTGAAAAAATATTTAGTTTTATAATATTTTATTAGTGATGTGGAAAAAAAATCTCTCCTCCCCTTCTAACCTAACCTTTTTCTAGTTGGTGTTTGGTGGGTAAATAACAATAATCWCAGGGAGCCACATTTGAAATATATCTTATGTTCACTGTCACAAAATGTTTGACAATTAAGAGAGATAAATATAAAAATAAAACAAATTCTTTTTAAYGATGATAGGCTATCACGAATCAGAAGTTAAGTATTTTCTTTAAAAACTAGATAAAAAATGTATGAGGTTGAAACTTAAGATTTAAACTCAAATCTTAGAAATAAAAAGTTTTTTTTTTWWWAAATTATTTGAAAGGTAGCAACAACTATTTATGATTCAAAATAGAGTTTGAAAGCAGGAGAAAAGTGAGCCAATTTGGAGGTTTYTGAAAGAAGCAGAGAAATCCGATTGGGAACTCAGAAAATGAAGATTTGAAATCTTGAAATAAAAAGAAGCAATTTGAAAGAGAAAAAAAAAGGGCATCTTTTTAGGGTTAGAAGGTTCCAAAAGCAAAGAAACGGACCATTGAAGCGAAAAAGAGAGGTGGTAGTATTTGCACGTTCACTGCCGCCACCAATCGCTATTCGCTTCTAAAACGACACTCTCTCTTCCCCTCTTCTTTTCCTTTCACCTTCACCGATGTGTCGGTTATCATTCTGTTTTCTGCCTACCTACTTAGCTTATTTGCCTCTCAAATTTCAATTTCCCATTTCCCATTACCCATTTTCAAATTTCGCCAACCACAATCGACAATCCTCTTATTTTTCAAAAATATACATSGTTTCGTGCGCGTTTCTGACAAAAGTGACACGTATACTGCTCTCTTATGTGGGCTCTTGCAAATAGAAACTTGTTTTGGTATATGATACTTTCCTCATACACTTTGAAACTTAATTAGAAGTAAATTCGAGTTGGTGTCGRGTTAAGCGTAAATTTCTATTTGTGGGTGTCAATAAAGTCAAAACTCACGTAGAATGTCACTCGATCAAGAACACGCAACAACCTTGGACTTATTATTGTTTTGTTGTCACATTATTTTGATTTAATTAAATAATTGTGGTGGGTATGGAAAAGAGAGAATGCAAATAGCCCAAATTATGTTAGTGGGGTGTTTGTCAAAATAACTCCGAATAAAATCGAGAGGCTGTAATGGAAGAAAAGAGAAGGCCCATCTTCCATTACCTTGGAGAATAGGAACATAGCAGCATTTATAAGCGACCTAAATTAAGGGGTTTTTTTTTCTTCTAAAAAAAATCTCATTGTAATCCATAAATTTCCAATATAATTCTATTTTGGTCTAAATTTAAAAAAAAAAAAATCATCTTGGTCCTAAACTTTAAAATAATAACATTTACAACCTAATTTCTATTGCGTTCATGTTGATATGTTAATACATATATCTAAATGACATTATCCGGACCAAAATAAAATGAGATTTATTTATTTGATTTTTTTTTCCTAATGAAGTTCGTCCTCAAAGAGAGTTTCAATTTCTTCCAAACTTCTTCCCTTAGTCTCCGGCAGAAAGCGGTAAAAGAAAGCCGTCGCCGCCGCCATTATCCCGGCGAGGCAGAAAAACATACCTCCGAACGTTATTTTCCTCGAAATTGTCAGAAATGTCATTGCCACCAAACCACTTACCAACCGGTTCACCGAAACGGCC